GAGCATCATTGGGGGTATAAACCACCATTTCTTGAGTCTTGTTTAGCCATTCACTTCTCTGGTGCTTTAAGAAAGCCCTTATTGGCAAGAAAGGCAAATAGTAATTTGGTAGTCTTTAATAGTTGCTCTTCACAAACGTAAACGGCATGGGGGATCGAACAAGGAAAAGCATCTCCCATATTTTTCATTCTTTGAGAAGATCACTCATGGTGGCTCTTAACAAAGGGAGAAAGAAACCTGCTTGCGAGAGGACACAAAATTCTCTATCCAGAAAACCATTGCTGTCCCCAACCCCCAGCACACACTCTGAAAATGTCACTGACAAGCAACTGTCTGACTTTAACATCCTAGTATTTCAGTTCCATTTTGAGGCAATCAAATTTGTGATTCTTTATTTTCATTTCAGATTTATCTTCCATACTTCTATTAAGGTTTTGGTTTCTTGATATCTTCAATTTTGCAGTGATGTTTTCATTACTGTGTGAGTTGCTTGTAAAACTCAGGATGAAGAAATCCTTCCCTGGCCTTAAGAACTCTTGCCCTGAAAGGTTTTACCTTAACAGATACCTCAGATTATGCTTAGCTGCAGGTTTCAGTCACTGCAAATCAGAAAGCAACACTGAGATTTTCATTCTTTCAATATAAATGGCTTTTTCTGCTTCTTCTCTGAGACTATTAAAAAAAAAAAAGTCTGTAATAACAGCAGCTCTCAAACTGTAGAGAAAGTCTTTTCCCTTATCTAGATGACATACCACTTCATACTAAATCTGTCACTAGCACATCCTTGCTGCCCACTCTCTGCAATGCCTCCAGGATGACAGGCTTTGTGATTAACTGGAAAAAGAGCAGTCTCTCCTCACCTCAGAGTATGGGAGTGAAAATAGGCTCAGTGTGGAAGGCAATTCTGAAGCGGAGTATTTTTTTAGTCTCTAAAACTACTGGGGCTGTTCTACAAGAAAGGAGACAGCTGGGATTTTACTGCATACACATGGGCACTGTTGGTATTGTTTTCATTTCAAGTGATATATCATATGTAAACCAAGATGGTTGTGAGGTGAGAGGCTGACACTAAACCTGGTTTCCTAAGAAAATGAGGTCTGCACAATAAGCATCAGAGTCTGCCCTCTTCTAATAACTTTGAATCTACTTTCCTGGTTCAGGCAAATTTGAATTTAAGTTCATAAAAACTTCATTAAAAGAGGCAGCTGGGTAAAGAGGATAACTGTGTTTTCTCAGAGGGGGAAAGGAGGAGCCCAGTCTGTATCGTGTATGAGGGAACACATGCAGGGGACAGCTCTTATCACAGCTTCAGAAGCAGGAGAAGCTTTGATCAGTGCTCGCCTCCAGAGAAACCATCTGCAAGACACAACGCCGTGGGAAGGCAGGGTTCTTACTCTGCCGTAAATACATCTCTTGAAGAAGCTTCATTCTGGTCTGTGATTTGAGTGCAACCGCTGCCAGTGGGTGAGTGGCAGGGCCTCAGCCAGGGCATCGCCTCAGCTCCGGCAGACGCCTGCTCCCATGGGAGGGTGAAGCTCCTCTGCAAATTGGGGTGGTCCCTGTGTGCCCCTGTTCGTGGGGAGAGGCTAGCAGCAACGCACGGCTGATGCTTTGTTTTACAGTCAGGCTAGCGTGGTGATCTGTAAAAACTGCACTTAAAAAACCCCATTACTGCCCCCAGCTTCCTCCCTGTCTCTGTACTTGAGGAAGCACTTAGGCAGAAGGGCAATCCTTTAATTCACACATAGGGAAAGGACACACTGCAAGCACTCCTGCTCTGAAGAGAGCTGCTCACGTAGATGCAACCCTGGCAGCTTCTGGTGTGGTATGAGGACACTATTTTATCTTTACTTTTAATGGAAAGGATAAAGTGGAATAGTAATAATGGGACTGATAAATTAAAGGAAAACTGTAACCACATAATTATGTCAGAATCAACTAACAGCCATGAAAAGCTGATTAAACCACATTATGCAGATACATGTAACAGAATACTATTAGTAAGTCCTTTGCAGTGGCATGCCTGGCAATTAAGAGACCACTATTGGCAGCACACAGTGAAAACAATGATAATGTATAGTTAAAAATGTTTGGACACAAACAGTGCACAGAGTACAGGGACGGGCTAGAACTGAATACAGGAGCATCCTCAAAGACACCAGCACCCAGGGTAAAAACCAAAGATGTTATTCCAAATAGACTGTTTGACTAGGATGCTGGGCATAGCTTGGAGTAATTTACATTTATCATCAAAATGAATTTACTGGCTTATCCATAAATGAAAAGCTACAGTGCAGTAAGTAGTCTGTATTTTCCAACTATCCACAAAATTCAGGTTGTGCAGGCTAATGGAGGAATTCCATATTTTTTCTGAATTAAAGAAGCTTGCAGAAATATTCTGATTTAGGCAGTAAGAACATTAGGTAATGTTCTTGTGGTTGCAACTATTCAGTAAATATTTGGGAATGAGATAGCTCGGTGTTGTATGCTCTTATGTGTGTACTATTTCCAGGACAGGGACCTGAAGAAGGTGTCACCCATTGACTTTCTTCCTCATTTGGAGTATTGGGATTTATTGTTTCCTCTCATTCACCATAGAAAGAGAGTTGAAGGTTCAATTCTATCCTTCACTTCCCTTCCCTTCCTTTGCCCACTCTTGCACAGCAGTTCTCATCTGTAGTCAGGGAGAATTGCACAGGAACAAGCTCTGAGATAACGTTAGTGTGGGGTTCAAAGTTCCCACAGGCTTTATAAAAAGATACGCTCCTACCAGGAACTACTCCATGTGACTGTCAGAGCTCATCTGAGGGAGCAAAACCAGATGGGATTTTTTGGTGTCAAAGGATGAGCATGCTGAGGAGTTCGTACTCCCCTTATTTTCTTCATCATGCCAGACAGGCTTCTGAGACATGCTACCAAGAGAGTTTGCTTGCAGAAATCCAGCAGAGATCCTTTAAATATTTATCCTGCATATTGTTTTCCAACATATACATGCAGGTTTTCTTCTCGCTTTATTTATGGAGATGACTGAACTGGTGTGAAATGCCGGTAACGAGAGGTCAATAGCATCTGTACCCACAGCAGTGCTTTCCTGAGCTATTAAAAAGGAAGTGAAAGAGTCTGTGTGTGGTTATGCTTTGATTACAGAAGCCAGGCAATGTGTTTATAAATGAAATTCTGTCAACAACTTAAGTACTAGGGATGTGCAATTAATGAAATCTCTGACAAACCAAGATTTATGATGACCAGGAGACATGCCTTTATTTAAATGAAGGAGTGAGACTGTCCGTAGAAGGTTAAAATATTTACTATTATGTCTATAATTACTTGGTCTATTTTTCCTCATACTTTATATGTACTTTTACATGGACCAGTTAGAACAAGTCCAGAGAAGGGCCACCAGGATGATCCGAGGGCTGGAGCACCTCTCCTATGAAGACAGGCTGAAAGAGTTGGGGCTGTTCAGCCTGGAAAAGAGAAGGCTCTGGGGAGATCTTATAGCGACCTTCCAATACCTGAAGGGGCCTACAAGAAAGCTGGGGAGGGACTTTTCATAAGGGCAGCTAATGACAAAACAAGGGGAAATGGGTTTAAGCTGAAAGAAGGTAGGTTTAGATTAGATATTAGGAAGAAGTTCTTCACTGTGAGGGTGGTCAGACACTGGAACAGGTTGCCCAAGGAAGTTGTAGATGCCCCCTCCCTGGAAGTGTTTAAGGCCAGGCTGGATGAGGCTTTGAGCAACCTGATCTAGTGGAAGATGTCCCTGCTGATGGCAGGGGGGTTGGAACTAGATGATATTTAAGGTCCCTTCCAATCCAAACCATTCTATGATTCTATGATTCTATGTGAGAATGTTGATGCTTACAGAGTATTTTTCATGAGAGAAAAGTATAATTATCTCCACTTTTACCTATGAACAAATTGACAACCAGAAATTTGGAGTAGCCTAGGTGAGGTACCATACTATAGCAATGGAGGAATTAAGAACCCAACCTTTTTGTGTCCCAATTTCAAGTACTTGAAGGGAGCTTATAAACAGGAGGGAGAGTGACTTTTTACATGGGCAGATAGTGATAGGAAAAGGTGAAATGGTTTTAAACTAAGAGAGGGGAGATTTAGGTTAGATATTAGGAGGAAATTTTTCACTCAGAGGGTGGTGAGGCACTGGAACAGGATGCCCAGAGAAATTGTGGATGCCCCATCCCTGGAGGCATTCAAGGCCAGGTTGGATGGGGCCCTGGGCAGCCTGATTTAGCGCTTGGCAACCCTGTCCACAGCACGGGGCTTGTAACTAGATGATCTTTAAGTTCCCTTCCAACCCAGGCCATTCTATTATTCTATGAATTGTGCACTATATACTGGATCATGCTAGATTTAATAGCATAGTGATTTTAGCTACTGATAGTACTGAACACCTGATTATTCATCCTTTTATTTGAAGCTGGAGCATAATATTCCTTCTCCAGCAGAGAAATAACTTAAGTCCACCTTTTTCACTTTTTTCAGAACTCCAAGAAAACAAATTGTTTCTGAAGTAAGAAACTGCCACTGGCAGCAGTGTGTGCTCCTACACCATCTATGAGAAAGGATGCTTTTCCTGTAAACAAAATAATATAAAAATAATCAATAAATAAAAACCACTCAAGCCAACAGTAGCAAACCTTGGGCAACACCTATAAGAAAAATGGTGCCTTTGACACAGAGGTATCACTCCCAAATTGTGTCCGTCCATAAGGTGTGTTGTATTCTATCAGGACATGTGGCTCTGACATACACTGAACATACCAACCCTGTTACAGCTTTTGCCTGCTTTTGACTTTGAAGATTTAACTTGCGTGTTTTAGAGTATTGTTAGGAATGTTCTTGTAGTTGACAGTACTACTGCTGAGCTCAAGGCACGCTTCTGGAAGATACCCCTGACACTCTTACATTCATGCTGCATACTTCCACAGATCCATCAGCCAAAATATCACTAATGATACGCACTTTTAATTTCACAGATGAAGGAACTTGGCATCATTGTATACAACTGCAGCTGCCTGGTCCTGGATTTACAAAGGATATTTGCCCTGTATAGCTCATTAAGATACAAGAATAAAATACCTCCAAGTTGGTCTAAGAGACTATATGGAGTGTATGATACTCAAAATAAACTGACGCTGCAGCTGAACGAGACAAAATCAGAAGCTTTTGTGTCGGTAAGTTCTGAAATGCGTGGCAGAAAGGAAGAGGAGGGAAGAAACTTAATTAGCTCACCAGATTTTTGGAAGACCTGGAAATTTAAGACCTGCTTACTCTCCTAATATTGTCCTTTATGAACTACAGAGAAGTGAGATCAAGGTAGGGAGGTGTTAGTAGCAACTGTGAAAAGAATTTCAAGTGTAATTTCACTGATATAAAGATGTTCACAGTTCCCTGCAGTAAGTCCATCATCATGCTGTGTTGTCCCTGATAGAAACTGTCAGGGAGAAATCACCATGGATGATAATTTTCATGAATAGGAACATATATGTTGTAAATTAAGCTTATACTTAAGTATTTCTCTAAATTGGCCCTAACTGAAGAAGATGCACATTACCACTGTGCCCTTGATACTGAAACTGGGACTCATGTGAGTGACTGGAAACCCAGCTATAGAGGTAAGACCACTACAGCTGTCACCTACAGAAGACAGAACTTGATTGATATTCTAATAATGCTGGAAAACCAAATCATTCTGTTCTCTGGGGAAATAGTTATTGCAATAGGTATACTTTTGTGGGGAAGTCTGTAATTGAAAGGTTTTAAAAAGTTATTTGCCTTTTCCTATGGTGCAGAAGAAACAAATCACAATATATTTTTATTTTCATTCTGATTTCTGTGACATTGTTCTCATGTGCAATTTGCCAGGACTGAAGATTCTGCATAATTTAATTTGAGCATTATTCTTTTTCCCTTCCTCTGTAATGTTACTATTTTTCCTCTTGTGTTCAAAAAATGATAGGGAAGCTCCTCAAATTTTTTTTATTTACACAATAGACAGAAGGTGAATGACTTGGGAGTAAAAGGACTGTTAATCAGACATCTAAAATGATACAGTGTAAGCTTGATATCAGAACTTGCATTTTTATCAGTGTAATTTATAAGGATTAATCCTCTTCACCCTATTCCACTGAAAGCATTCATACTTCTGTAGATCATTATCTACTTTAGCTTTATTTTTCAATAATATTTTAAAACTTTTAAAATTTAAGCAGCAATGCTCACAGAAGCACTGTCTGTGTGTGTATTTTTAATGGGAGGAAATGGAGCAGTCCTCCACCTCAGCAGTGATGTAACAAAACTGGGAAAAAGTACACAAAGCAATAGAGGTGATGAAAGATGCACAGTCTCTTTAATTTTGGAGGTAATTACATGACTAAAATCAAGTTGCTAAGAGTTATTTACCATTCTATATAAAACAAGGAGCAAAAAACCCCATTGCTTTATAGCCAGTTATGTCTAAAACAACACATGGGATGTAGGAAATGATTAAGTTGCACAGCCACTAGCCACAGGATGTTGGTGCAGATGACTGCTTATACAGGGCAGGGTTTACCTTCAGCAGCTGGGAGCCACAACACGTTCAGGAGTCCAGGATTTTTCACACTCCTGCAACCAGTGGAGAGACAGCTGTTTTAGAGTGAAAATCTGGAAGTGCACAAGACAGCCAGAATTAGCAGCCATCTGAAGAAACATACGCTTCCACTGATTCTGGAGAGTCTTAAGGACTGGCTTAAATTAGAGACTGACTTTCGGACACTTAGGTAAGGAGCTGTGAAATGAACTCATATTCCATTCTAAGCAATCTATAAAAAATTGAGAAATCCTGATGAAAGCCAGTCCTGGAGGGGCACACAGTAAGGAAAGCTGGGCAAGGCAACCTTTAAGGAATGTGATATCCTAGACAAAGAGAAGTGAAGAGATGCTCCCCAAAAACTGTTCTTCTACCGTTTGCAGAACGTTCACTTCCTCCCTGTGATTTGTATTTTCTTTTTGTGTGGGCAACAAGAGCCTCTTCTCTTGAAATTCCACTTCAGAAAACAAAAGGAAGGAGTGGCTGGTACTCCAGAAGCTCAGATCAGCAAAGCCCAACTCCAAGAGCTACTTGAATCTGTAGCCACAGCCAGTTGGGCTGGTTCCTCCTTCCTGAAAACAGGCTTTTCAATAAATTTCTCATCCACTAGCAAATTCTCAATGTTCACCAGCACGCCCCTCTGAAGGGCAGTCCTGGAGTTGCACTGGACTGGTTTGGTGGAACCAAGTGTTAACATAGCTGTCTGTTCCTGAACTAGTGGTAAGAAGAAAGTCTCTGTGAGCCAGGCAGTTCACTCACTGCCATCACTGCCCTGTCTGTGGGCAGGGGTGGGCAGGGGTGGTAGTGGTGCTGCCCTTGCCCAGTGCTGCGCTGCTCCCTCCCCAGTCCTGCATTGCCTCCCTTTCGGTCTGGAACAACCTGAGCAGGGGCATGGCAAGGTACTGTTGCCCAGTGAGAGCACAGGCCTATTTCTGGTAGGTGAAGAGAAGTATCGAACAGGTATTTGATCAGAACAGCAAGGACTATACAAGTATTGCTGAGAGAAGTACTAAAATATTTTTTTTATGGCCACAGAGGGAGTCAGTCGTGCCCCAGGGTAATGAGTGACATGCTCAAACACAAATTTTACACTGAGGACTTTAGCCAAAGTTTTTCTTTTAATTATCTTCTAAATATCTTTCTCTTTCTAGTCTTTATATTGAATGCATCTGAAAAAGACAATGTATAAGAATTCCATTCTTTAGCTGTTCTGTAACTTAAAACTTCTATTCAAGAAAATAGTAAGAGTGCAAGAATAAAATCTAGTGCATTAGCCTCTTAAAAGTTTCAGATAATAGATAATTTAAATTATGTTTAACAAAACCACTTTACACTTTTTCTTGAGTCAAAACTCATTCTTTGAAAATGTATTTCAATGTTTGTGGTGTATAAAACAAGTATAACATGCAGTCATTGGATATTTTTTTACAGTCAGGAATCATGGCTATAATGTTGCCTAGCAACAAAATCATCTTCCAGACTGGCTGATAAAACCTAAGAGGTTTTGGTTGTTTTCCTTTGTGTTCAGGAATGGATCTGGAATATTGGTCTTAACATCTTGCTGTTAATTTCCTAGCATTTTCTGACCTTACTTGTAGTAAATCCTTAAGAACATCATTCACTGATTAAGAAACCATTGTGACAGGCATTGTTTTGAAAGAAAAAGACTAATCAAAACCCGAGGATCTGTCCCTAAGGAAAACGGTAATCTCAATGTCAGATGCAACCCAAGCAGATGACAAAGGTGAGAAGGTGATACAGCAGCAGGAAGGGAGCAGCCTGGCAGGACCAGCTGTTAAGAAAAGGGCAAGTGGCACCTGCTGTAGCTCTCGGGCAACCTCTACTCCCAGGAACCATGTTGTTAACTGAGAGCAACTTGGCAGGTGGCTCCACGTCTCTCTCCCTGCTCGGGCAGAAAAACAGGAAATCCTGGGCCTCTCTGCTGGCTTGGCCTTGCTGGCGGACACGTTCAACAGCCCTAGATACAAGGCAAAAAAGGTGAAATCTGGGCTTACCACCTGCCAGCTTAGTACCAGGTAAAGAGTTTATACCTGAAGCTAGGTTTTAAAGACGTTTCTTGCAAAAGCGCAGCATCTGCCTGCAACAGGGACTGAGCAAACAGTGACTTTGTGTGTAACGTTAAACAGAACTGACACGATAGACTTAATTCCTGGTACTAAGTGATGGAGCAGGCTCATGTGGTAAGAACACAGATATTGCTCCATCTAATAGTAACCAGTCCTGGGACTCTTGGTAACAAAATTCTCTGAAATGTAACTTCAACTAGAGCTTCTTTGATGGCAGTGGATGTTTTGAAGTTTGTTTCTTCTACATTTTACCCACAGTTACAGATTTTAAATGCCATATTTGAACTTTTCCCTTCACAGAATTCACCTAAACTCTTCTGCCCAAAGGACAGAGTCCTGGATATTGAAGCTATATACAGTGTTATCGATGATGCGAAACAGTTTGTATACATAGCTGTCATGGACTACTTGCCGATCGTCATTGACACCAATGCTAAACGGTGAGTGTCCACGTTATCATCACACCAGTAAGATCTGTTGGAGAAAATGAACCCACAGGACAGTAGTTATTACTGTGGACCAATTTCTTGGGGCCCAATTCTGCTCTTATTGAAATCAGTGAGAGTTCTGCCATTGACTTAAATGGGAGCAGAATTGGGACCTAAGAAGACATTTCCAGTTCTGGGTCCTAAGCTTTGGATCTGCCTATCGAAGGAGATCAGAAATTGTCTAGTCTGACCATCTGCAAGTGACTGGGACCCACAAATACAAGAACCTGCTTATACATGAATCCTATTTCTTACACTATTGTATTTACTATCTAGATACCACAGCTACTGGCATTTTATGAGTATCATACAGATATTCAACATGAGAGAGAGTGTGTGTGTGTTTGTGTTGAGAGAAATAACATGTTGTGAGTTCTCCTATACAACTCGGGAGATGTTATTATTTTACTGAAATATACATATACATGAAAATTCCAAATTCAGCATGGATCATCTTTTAATTATATCACATTTTGTTTAACTGAGAGTTGCTAAAAACAAACAAAACCCAGTAATTTTTAAACACAGTTTGTATGGACTATTAAAAAGGACTCATGACCCAAAACTAGAACCACAGTGTAATAAAACTATCCAACTCGGAAGGCAAATATCCAGTGGTCCTCCTGCTCTCGGTAATACTCACAATGAATTGAGCATCTAGTGAAACTCACCATTCCATTCATGTGCTTTATTTGAACACAGCCAAACTAAATATGGTTCTGTGCTTTCTTCCTGTTTTGGGTAATTAAAGACATTTTGTTCAGATTTTTCGAAAAATAACTATCCTTTGACTGATAGCAAGCACAAGCTGTTTCAAATCTATAAGAGGGTTTTTCTGATGAAGTCATGTACAGCCTCTACCGCAGTGAAAGAATCGTGGGTAGTGCTGTAGGAACATCAGTTTCACAACAGGCATCCCTGCCTTCCTCCTTCAGTTGGAAGGGAACTTGGCATGTAGAACTGGTACAGTGTTGCAGTTGATGTTGCCTCCCATGCTTCTCCTTACTTGGTTCTGGTGCCTGAAGAATGCAGAAATCTATTGGATTAGAGAGATCTAGGGAAGCCATCTGTGTGAATTCTTCAACATTTTCCTACAGCACAGCTTTGTGTTTGAGGCACTGCCACAACTTCCCTACCTCGTCAGCTCCCAGTTCTCACTTCTAAGTTATTTGCTGTCATTGTAGAGCTCAGACTTCATTAGGCTGAATGCCTTGATGCTGCTGGAATAAAGAAAACGTGCATTTCCTTTGCCGAATTCTTCCTGTCCTCACCTGCTCCCACATAAAGTCAGAAACACAAAGCTAATGTGATTGTGAGAATAGCATGATGGAAGCCACCATCCCATTCTTGGCAGAATTTCTGCAATCCTTATCAGGAAAAAACGTAGCATCCTCCTTAAATGACCCATCATCTGCTGCTGAAGGATACAGGCACCCTGCATAGCAGCAGCTCTCCTTTTCCCAGGCAAGAGGTGATAGAAGGCATTCCAGTCCCCAGCCTATATTGTCCCAGTACAGAGGAAAAAAAGGATGGCAGTCAGGGAGGGACCCAGTGTTTGTGCTCCCTTGCTTGTGTCACCTACAAAATAGCCTTCTTGTGGCCCTGCCTGGGCTGGGCAAGCAGGACCCTCTGGCTGTAGCTCCTTCTGCTGCTTCTCTGGCACCGCAGGAGCTTCACTACTCTCACCACAGGCACTGTCACAGGAGTAACTCTCCCAGCTATGGGCAAACATGGTACCTGCATTTTGTGCGAGTGTTTTGGCAGCTCTCTATGCACCTGCACAGATGAAAGATGTGCTCAGCCATCCACAACCTCGCTGTCCCTACAGTTTTGGTGTGGGGCAGAAGGACAGAAAAAAAGGATACTGGCAGTTCTGTTTAGTGAAAGCCCCTTTAAATGAGAACAGTATTCCTTCAATGGAAAGAAAATGAAATTCACATGTGTTTAGTTTTCTCTATGATGTCTAGACTTGGCTGCATAAAAATACATTATTTTTTTTTAAAGTTCTCTGAATATATTGTGTTCTTTCTCCACAGATACTGGCCATATTTAGATGGGAAGATAAGAGAAGCACTAGTTTTACGAAGTATTAAAGTACGACTTCTCATAAGTTTCTCAAGAGATACAGATCCCCTTACTTTTAACTTTGTTTCGTCTCTGAAAGCTATTTGCACTGAAGTTCCAAGCTGTAGTTTGAAAGTTGTAAGTATATTCCATATTGCTTTGAAATCTTTGAAATCCTCTCCAAAAAAATCAAGAAAACTTCACAATTGAGAAGTGGTTTTGTTAATATCAAATCCTTTAAATTTCATTAAATAACATCGGAAATGTAATATAATGAACTGAATTTGCTCCTAGTAGTAACAGACCTAGCAATTAAGACAGAAAAATAGAATGATGCCAAAAGCAGTCTGTGTGGCGGACAGCCCCTGCAAACCCCTACATCTGGTCTTTCATAGCAAAGCTAACGGAGTGAACCGTAGTCATATGTCTTGTTTGTAGTGGCTGATAATAGTAAATGTGACAGCATAAAAATGTGTTTTAGTCTGGATTTGTATCACCTTACTGTTCAGCTGCGTAAGCATCTGCTTTTTCTTTAATTAAGTACAATGTAGGAGAAAAAAATTACATTAAATTCAGGCTACAAATTCAGAATTCTGAAGACCAGAACAACCATTCTGTGACTTCATTAGATATGCAGTACAGGGAAGTGAGACATACCATGTATGTTACATTTGTATTAGAGAAGAGAGTGCGTGGTAAGTACTCCTTTCCATTTGATACGTTTCATTTTTATGAAATTGAGGAACAGTGGAAATCAGTCATCTTGGATCAATTTCTTTTTTGTTTGGTTTTTGTTTTGTTTTTTGATTGTTCGTTTGTTTTTCCCAGATAACTGTTTTAAATAATCTGCTATATTATTTTGACTTCTTAATTGATAATCCACTGAATCCATTTCACTTTTTAAAACTGACAATTGTAAAAAAACAAGTACTGTTTGTGTTCTACGCACACTATGTGGTATTTATGCGTACCTTGAAATAGGGGTATTTGTTAAAATGTACATGATTATTACAAGTTTCCTACGTAAGAAGCAGCATAAAGTGTGTTTTTAAGTCAAAAAGCCCATATATAGTTGACACTGCTAAAGCCACTTCCATTTTGAGTAACTTCTAGCTTGTTCCTTATTTATCAATATTCTATTTATGTGTTCAAAAGTATTTTTTATTTAAGTGGTACCTAATGCTCTACATACTCGTATCCATTTCCATCTATTTACAGCAGGTAAAATCCTTAGTACAGAATTTATCTTGTCAAGAACTAAATGCTAAAAGGAAAAAAAAAAAAGTATTTCTAGACATCTATTCTAGGTAGCTAGTCTGGCTACAATATCCACAGGTAGAAAATACAAATACAAATACAACAAATTGCTAAGCTGTCCCCAGAATCTCAATATTTATTGTTCTGACAGAAATGGCAACCCCTCGATCTTCTGTTCTCTACCTGAGTCCCATGCAGTGTATTCAGTAACTTTTTTATTTCATTTAGCTTTTGATCCCTGTGATGTGCCTTGTTGTGATTGTATTCCTTCCCCCCCCCACCCCCACCCCATGTTTGGCTAGGAAGTTTCCAGGGAGCACCCATGGCTTGCTGCAGCTCTAGGGTGCAACTGTTTTGCCAGTGGCAGCAACCTGACCTCAATTCCACTTCTCCTTAAGTTTTGTGTGTTTGACTCTCTAGATACATCTTATGTGCAAAAATGTTCAGTCTAACTCTTGAAGGAGCAGTAAAAAGGGACCAGCTGTGTTGGGTAAAGTGCTAAACAGAGAAAGGTGGGTGTTTTTGAAGGGCCTACAGAAAGTATGAACTAGAACAAAGTGTCTTTAGACAACTGGAGACCAGGAAGGAGTAGCATGGACCAGACATACATACCTACAGCACAAATTGTTCCAGAGCTTCCACGTGAATCTGCTTCTGAGCTGTGCAGGTATATTTCTGCTAAGGTACTGAACCTTGCACTAATTCTCAGAAAGCCAGAAATGCCCTATGAGTAAATAATGTATTATGAATTAACTATGAAACCTTTGTTCCTAAGCACTACTTTAAACTCCTAAAATAAGGATGGAAAAGATGAATGAAATGTCAGCAGAAGGCGGTGTGTGATTAACACAGTACTTCTGCTGAAGGCGCATGTTGGAGACTGTTAGGCTGTGCTACGTAGTGGCAGTGCTGGTTCACTTGCTCACCCAGGCTACGCTTGTGTATTCTGTTTGTCAGGGCAGATGGGTCTCCCTACTGGTATCTGTTCTGTCAAGGACTTAACGGCTTCTCCACTGTTGCTGGAGAACGTTACATTTTTCAAGCCTTCTATGTTTTCCTGCCCGAATCTGAAATTATACAAATTAGTTATTATACAAACAGAACACTAATGTATCATTTTCCAGTTCTGTACATCTGCTGAATCTATCTCAATCTGACAACTCTAAACTTATATGACAATTATGCTTGACTATTTTTACACCAAGGTATGTAGCTTTTTGCTAAATCTCATAACACTGGGAAGAAGACAGTTTGTTACATTTTGTTTCTTAGCACTGAATACTTTACTCATTAGCCAGTTTTAGACTATTCCCTACAATATTAGTACTAGTCACACAGTATCTTCCACATCCCTGTGAAGTTACTGCAAGCGCCCTTGATGGACAGACACCCTACAGCTGCTAACTGTCTCTGTTCCTGTTTTGTTGCGTCAGGAAAAACAAGATTTTCTTCTGGCTTTATCAAAAAGTTCAAGACCCTTTCAGAAAGATTCAGATCCATCTCTGGCTTGCTAAGGATATAATTTTGGTGGTGGGTGCATGTTTTTAGAGCAGTTCCTCAGACACACAGTTGCAGTCTTGATGTTGTCTAAGAACTAACCCTTAACACCTAGTAAACTGTCCTTCACAGCGGCTAAGATAAGTTTGTTCTAATTTTTTTAGAAAAAATAATGCTGTAATTGCAAGTGATGTTAAAAACCTGTAATTAAAGTATGATTTCTCCATGCAGATGTGAATATACAATATAAATCTCATTTAAAGGACAGATACTACAGTTTTACATAGAATAATCTTTTTTAATGCCCTTTATAAAGAAATCACTCAGTTTGACTTATTGTCCTTGTTTTTAAATTAAAAAAAAAAATACCTTTGGAGTTTTGCTAGTATTTGAACTCATTACAAAAATTAAGCTGTGGAGGATAACAATGCCACATACAGGTAAGTAAGCATGTGGTGACATAAGAAATTCAGAGACTGTTTAAGGAAACAACTTAGTGACAGTTATCAATCATAAAAGTGCACCACAGTACACCATTCAGTATTTGGGCACTAAAAAAAAAATCCACAAGGTTTTTGAATTTTATTTCTAATGCACCAAAACCTGCTTCAGCCCTAATAAACTTTCATCATTTTGGGGAGGGGGGGTGTGTCAGACCAAGAACAGACTCTCAGTGCTGGAATGAACAGGAGCCTCAACTCTCCTTGGTATTTTAGAGATCTTCCAAGCAATTGGTACAACCTCTGATAACATGAAATTTACCCTAATATATTTTTCCAGTGGGGAAGACAGAGATACTGACAGAGTTCACAGCATGAAGTGTGAGATAAACAGCAGCCTCTGGGCTCCTTTACCTTTTCTCGGCAACTAAACCATTTTAATTAGATTTGGTAATACTAATGGCAGATAAGCAAGGCTTTGGAATCTGTGTCTAGCTATTAGTTTCCTTGATCAAACAAATGCTACTTAGGATTTGTACTGGAAATCTCATTTTTGTCTGGCACTGATGCAGACAAGGAATGCATACAGCTCCAAAATAAAATAAAATAAAACCAATCTAACTCAGACTTCACCCTTTAGGGTAAAACAGATGCATTTTCCTCTTGTTGTCTGGTAAATTGGATCTCTCTGTATCAGATTAAACCCCGAGAAATTTCTAAATTTCTGAAATCAGCAAGTTTCCTGTGGGAAACTATGCAATGTGTAATATAAAGGTATTAATTCAGCTGTTCATCCTGCCAATCTGGATCCTGAAGCAGATTTGAAACCCCAGTGTCCCTTGATGAATGAGGAAATGAGATGAAGAAAAGTTCCTGGCTCTTATTCCACAGAACACAAAGATGCGGGGTTTGTGTTCATTTCATAGCCTTGACTACGTGGCACTGTGTTGCTTTTAGTATGCAGCAGCTGTATACTTTGTACAGTTCAGAATGCCAAGGCATAGTGAGTATCAGAATCTATGAGAATTCAGTAAGAAATATGATGTGCAGTGTTTTATTAAGATTAATGCTTGGCTATAAAAACCCAAGCTGTTCTGTAGCACTAACTCATTTTCAATAAAGAGTAGAGAACAGACCATATTTTTTCTATCCATTATAGAACGTTTCTCATTAACCTGCACTCCGTTCTATTTTATGGCAGAAATTCTTTGACCTTGAGGAAGAGAGTGCATGCTTTCTTAAAGAACAGAAGAACACTTCCCTTCCCAAATTAAATCGCAACAAATACATGGTGACTGATGGAGCTGCATACATTGGTAAGTAACCACATCTCAAGAAATTTGAGTTTGCAGCCAGAAGTCTGAAGTAACACCCATTTGTAAATGAGGAATTACAGCTGATATGCTTGTTAAGTTAAAATAATAGTCTCCTTTCTTTGGGAACCTGGATGAAGACTGAGTTTTGAGCCTCTTATAATTTAAAATTATTTTTTTTCCTATGAATCAATTTCTCAAAAGTAACATTCTGCTTTCAGTATTTAAAAACAGACTGAAAACACAAATAAAACACACTTTATGAAGAAGGAATAAATTGGATTGTTAACATATTTTCTTGTTTCTGCAATCTAATGAAGATAGACTGTTCTCTATTTACCATGTTATTACTAAAGCTATGGTCAATCCTGGTAAATACTGCACCAATGCCTTTTATCCTCATCTTCTGAAATCTTATTCCACATACTGTAATGACATTTCAGGCATCCTCCTAACATTAAGTACAAACCTAATTGGTATTTTGGGTTAAAGGTGTAGTTAAGTCAAGTCACTGTACAGCACCTGGCAAACGCTCATTGAATGCAGGCTAAAAACTACCTTTTAAAAAAACCTGACTGCTTGAGCTGTGAGTGAGCTGCAGGATCAGAAAAATGCTACTGAATTAAAAAGTAACTCATAAGATTTTATACAGCCAAGAGAGAAAACATGCATTCTAATATGCTGCAGCTCATTGCTTTAGTTGCTTACTTCCTCACCCTGATTTATTGCAAAGGGCTTAAAGCCAGAGATTGCAGAGCAGCAAGGAAGGGCAAAGGCTGCAACACAGAAGCACGGCCATGCACACATGAAGAATGGAGAATCCCGAGTACTGTAGAGACACAACTCTAAAAAACTGACCTTGACGGGCTCTGAACGCGCGCACACACACATACACACACACACACCTCTCTTCACCTATCCAAGTCTTATTTTTCATTTCTAACAGTGTAGTTTATTCCTCTCTTGTATCCCAAATGTTTTATAAGCCCACTCTAAATCTTTTTTTTTTTTTACTTCATCTTAAATTCTTTGCAATAGCCAGATCACATTTCAGTAACTTACAACTTGTCTACGCAGCTTGGATTCTTAGCTAAGCTGGTTTATTTCCCTTCCCTTTGTCCTTACATTCTTAGATAGAGATATATATATATATATATAAATAAAAGAAAGAATCAAAACTGTGTGAAAGTAATACAAATGCATGTGGAGGACCTCACCTATCTTATACTTGAAAGCATAGGAAGAAATGTCCTTTATGATGAGGCTTCAATTTACCATCCTTGACAACTTTAGAATTCTTAACGTATGCTGAAGTAGCTGAAACGATGCTGAAAGAATGGGTATAAATTTCTCAAATACCTTCATGTTTTATGTATGTTCAGATAGTTTTAAAATATTGCCTCTAGTAACAGCGTGTTTTCTCTAAAATACTGCATGTGTTATAAATGTATAACTTAAATAGTTATAGTTCTAGTGAAATAAATATCTGAGACATTTGGTTTACCTGTTTTCAATTAATCCAATACTCCTCTTTGCCTTGCGATCACCAGGATTTGAAATAGTCATTCATTACCTTAGATTTCGACACAGGTAGTAATAACCAGCATAAAACAGTAAAATTTGGTTTTCTTTCCTGAAATAGCATCTATCACTATCTGTAAAAGATCTATTGGTTTGGCTCAGCATTATGGAGCAACCACTCTCCAACTCATCTACTTTAAATTGTTTATATGGCAAAAAATTATTTTCATTCTTGGCACTGAAAAGGTTGATGATGAAAGTGAATGGAGTAATAATACAATATATGCAAAAGGAAGAGCAAGTCAGTTTTGAATAAATAAAAAGCCATGGTTTTATTTATGAAGGATTAGAGCTGTTAAACTTCCAGAAATGATCTGCACCACACACTGGTACGTAACGGACTTTTTTCTTTCCCACTACTATAGAAAACTTATTTCCGTCACTGGGGCACTGGGGAAAATGACTCTGTATCATGCTGGATTGCCTTGAGAGAGAGATTGCTTTCTTGTTTTTAATGTTAGAAACTCATTGTATATTCCTGCCTTTACTTGTAGGTAATTTTGATTGGGTAGGAAATGCTTTTACCCAGAACGCTGGAGCTGGCCTTGTTATCAACCAAGCAGACGCGGGGAACAGCACAAGCATCATTAAACAACTCAAGGCTGTTTTTGAAAGGGACTGGTATTCACATTATGCCAAAAGTTTACAACCAACAAAAATCCCAAACTGCTTTAATCACAAACTTAATAAAGCAACATCAAATAAGACTGCCATGAGCAATGCGAATTAGAAAGACTATTTTACTGTTTAGTATGGCAATGAAGAATTACTTTGGGGTGTAGCCCTCTTTCATATTTACAGACAAAAGACTTAAAGAAAAAGCAAAAAAAAAAAGTTTGGTTGGGGGGGTGTTTTTAGGAAAAAGCACACTTATATAAAAACTGTCTAATCTATATTCTCTATATTGAATTATTTAAGACTTTCAGATTTGTTACTTCTGACACTGAATGTCATTTCTGCTTCCATGTTAATTTTAATGTTCCGCGTTTGAATTTAACAGCATGTGTCAATTTTTCTGTTTCAGTTTTAGGACTTACCTTAATTGCCATCCTGGCTAGAACGAACCTTGAGGCAAAACCAAGATTCAAGCTATGAAATGGCATTCTAAGATCAGTTATTACTGACATACAAGTAGATGGTAGGTTCATTGCATTAGAAAACATACAGGAATAAGCAAATTTTCATCCATGTAAACCACTCCCTTTACATAAAGACCCAATCATACAAATACTTCCTAGTTTTGAGCATTTAGTTTGAGTATCACTCTTTCATGTCTTCTAACTAGCCTTAAAATACATTAAGAGTTACATGACTGGTAATTCATTCATCTCCTAGAAGTATGAGAAGGTTTTGAGGGACTGGGGTTGGCCTCATCAAATTTGTCATAATCCCTAAAGTCTCTCAGATAAATGGATTTTTATATCAAAGTAATATGGATTCTTTTCAATATCATAGTTATTTCCAATTATACTGTGTTTCATCTAACAATGAAAAACCTCTGGATTAATAGCAAAGACCTAGGACTGAATTTTTAATTAATTTTTTTTTGTATTCTCAAGAAAATTTCTTCCCCAAGTTAAATATTGATCAAGTGCAAGTCTGCAGTTGTGTGATGACTCATTATCAAACCAATGCATATATAAAAATCAAATACTGCTTTTTACTAAGATAAATGGTTATGCAAATTCATGCAATAATTGTTGTTAAATGATCATGTAGTAATTTTGTTTGATTTTACACCTAGGAAGTTTTTTCTTTCCTTTTACTTAAAAAAAAAAATAATTGTGAAATGGCATTTTTTGTTGAAATGTCATCCATATAGGTGAGTTGAGCAGCACAAACAGAAACGTGATGCCTTCGTTTAGCCCACAGTTTCAGTTGGTGTTCATAGTGTGCCTCTACGAACACAACTCAGTTGCACCAAGAAGCAACTGTTCTGTAAAAGTGTGAATTCGCTCTTTAAAAAAATACATATAAATGTTTGACAGCAGGTTTTTCTCCAGTCAGTTGTAATAGCTTAGTTTCATAATGAAAATGTTTCATTACTATCCTTCTGCTTCTGTTGAAGAAATACGGCCAGGAAAGCAACCTGTATTCTGTGTTTTGTTAAATACTCACAGAACTTTTTCCAAAATGTAGACTCTTCTCACCTGGCTGTATGTTACTGAAGGCACACTCCAAAAGCAGCGGGCAAGAAGAGAAGGAAAACCAACCATGTCCCAGTGTACTATTTTAATCTTAGGTTTAAAAGCCACCTTGACTTTCAAAACACAGGTTTCACTGACTAGGTTAAAAATCAAATTTATTTTAAAGTAAGCACAGCTTAGGGAATTGTTACAAGGTAATGTATGCACAACTTCACATTGCCAGCTAGACACACCACAAAGCTAGTTATGACCACAAAAGGCACACTTTTGACAAAGTATGTTTGTTTCTTTTGCAGTTGCCAAGATTTACATAACCTTACTGAAAATAATGACATAACAAAAAAAATTTTTAAAGTTGTCAACTTTTACAGAAAACATTCTGCTCAGCTTTAATGCTCAGTATAATTATCTAATATTCTAATACACACATCCCCTTTCTTAGCCTCCTCCCACACACACAGAAGCAAGAAACAAGTATCTGAAAAGAAAAAGGTTTCCTGAGTTGCTGTGAAGGAAAGATCGTTGTGAAGAGAAACTTCTGTATTTTCTTCTTTCTGTATATAACTTTAGAATATGTATAGCAAGTATGGGAGAGATCCCCAGCACTTAACTTACTTTTTGGGGTTTTTTTGTTTCAAGAAATAAATACTAGTCCAGATTAATTTCTGGTGAAAATTTTGGCTTTATTAAATTACCACTAATGAATTTAGTCTTATGAGTCAAAGCAAAAAAACCCCACCACCACTGACAAAAAAACACAATGAAAACAAACAAAATACCCACCACATTTTTTTAAAAGCTGATTGAGACATTTGTACAGCTTCTGAGGTCCCCTTGGGTGGGTGATCTTAAAGCTTGAGTTAAACTTATTACTGAGTTCTTTCATGAAATACAAAAAAACCCCAAGCAAACAAAAAAACCCCGCTGTTACTTGTCGCACCTGATGGCAATAATATACAGGAACTAATCAGTGTAATTTTTTCCCTCTTGCATTATGGATGCTAGAAATGTGGGTTTTCTAAATGACATCTTGCAGAAATAATGGAGGATCTGAGTGGAACAGAAATTTGTCAGATGATAAAGCTGAGCTGTCTGTTTACAAAGCAGGATTTAGTGATGAAATCAGACTGTGGAGTTACCACTGGCCTTCCATTTGGCATACGAAATGAATGATTCAGATGTAGTGGTCGGTTTTGCTGGACAGATCCTAGGAAAATCCATCATGAGTATTAACCAGATCCATTAGCTTACAAATGCATTCCTATTGGCTTGATGAACAAGTTCTGGTGCTTCAATTACCTCCTCCCCGCCCCTCCCCACCCCCTCCACCCCCCCAAAAAAAAAAAGCTGATACAAAACAGTACATTTTAGATGTGGCAGTATGTTCTGTTTTTACGAATAGAATGGGGTTTTTTAACAAATTTCAATACAAAATAGTGGTCAGCCATCCTACAAACAAATCAAGTTTCATTTGGTATAAAGTATGAATTGATATTTTAATAACTGTTTGGAATGGCAGCAGCTCCAAAGTAGTACAGAAGGCTTTGGTCCATTACATTAGCCAAAAGAGGAAGTACATCCTTGGACTTCAGCAAGTAGGAAATTATAAATATCAGATTCTTTTTTGGAAGCTGTTTAAGGGGATTATACCCAATTATTTTTTGGGGGTTAGCACTTTTATTGTTTAACTAAGTTTGCCACAGCAGCCTCAATTCTGGCTTCAGAGCCTTCTACCAATATAAATAAATCTGGAGCAAATCCATTATAGTGATTTCATGTTGGTTTAGCAGGGATCAGAATCTAGACCAGTTTCCTCTTGCTTTAGCTTTCCCGAGTATCACCATTGCCCAGGCTCTTTCCAAACTTCACAGGAATTTACATTCAGTGCTTTCTCTCAGACCTCACAGGTATAATCCAAAAGATGCACTTTCTCTAACCCCTTCTAACTGGCATTGGTAACTCTGTCATATTAAAGGCAATTTCCTAAACAGAACGGCTTTATTCTTAAAGAATATAGACTGTAATTGTTGTTTGCTGCAAACATTTACTAGTGCCTTATTCATACAAGGTTTTGTTCAACTGTTCCTCACGTGAAAGTCCTGCTAAATCTTGTACCCAGTACTGAGGCATTCAGTGAACTTCCTAAGTAAGAAGACTACACATTGTCATGTTTACAGGTTAGTACCTAAAACTAGAGCCACAAAAAGACAAAAATTGAATGTCAAATGTTGGTCCAAATCACGAGCACATCTAAACCTGAGCATTTTTATCTAAGCCCAGTTCTAGAACTAAATTCCACAAATTACTCCTGTCTTCATTATCAGCTAGTCCACAACACAGCTGAATTATTCTGTCCTGCCAAGGTACAAAAATAAAATCTCAATTCCCCCAGCACCTGGCTGATACCAAGAGCATAACCACAGGAATTCCTTTAAGCACAGGGTGAAGTCCAAAAAAAAAAAAAATCATGCAATGGCTACTCTACAAATCTTGCATGTTAAGCCTCAAGTTACTTTGAGCCAGATACCACTTTTTTCTGCCTGAAGCATGAACTAGTATCCCCAACTACTCTCACCTTCTCTTTGATGACCAGAAAAGCATGGATTACATGCCACAGCACAATGGCCGTAGCTGTACCCTGACAGGAACAGATTTAAGTTTGTCTGACTTTTTTCTCCTCAACTTTTTTTAAAAAATTCCTCTTTGAACTGAATTTGGGGCTAAGTCATTATGTACAAAGTTTTTACACAACACAGGGAACAGGGTTCCATCTAGTAAATCCAGGCTCTGCAGGTGCTTCAGAGGAGAGCTTGAGAAACAAGTAAACTCTCAGAATGCTACTTTTAAGACCTACCCATTATCGCTATACTACTAGCTACCTAAATTCTACTACTTTGTTGAGTTTTGCATACGTAAAAACTGAACAACTAAGCTGTATGTGAATGCTACCTGCCATTTAACCCTAAAATAAGGAGAAATCCAGACAAAGAATTTCTAGGATTTTTTGTGACTTTAGTGTGTACTTACTGAAAATAGCGCAGGCTTTCTCATTACGATGGCACAGACATCAGCTGGCTATTCCAGTTCTTCAAACTGAAGTCCTTTATAAATATCCCCATCTTGAATATTATGCACTTGCCTCCAGAGAATGGCCTTATAGAGAGCTCTAAGTTATTTTAAAACCATTTTGGACTTCAAAATGAAACCTTCATTTTAATACAAAAATATTGACTACATGTCTACTATGTTTCCAGATGGTTATTTCTGACACTGTGTTTTTCTTCCACTCTTATCCTTTCTATATGTATATATTAATGGTTTTTTTTAATCACTGTTAATTCAATTCAAGCTATGTAAAAACAAGAATGAATCCTTGGTATACTGAAAATTCACAACGATACCTCCCGAGTTAAACACACCAGTAAACATACTCCACTTTTAACACTGCACCGTATAGTAGCTCAACTAATACTTAGAGTGATTGCTTTTCTTAGCCCTAATTTTTCACTTTAATTACTGCTGGATGTTATTTATTAATGTCTCAGTGTTGAATCAGGTAGCTCTTGCATCTTCACTTTGCACAAATGCCTTAGAAGCTTGCCAAACTAGCATGTAAAAGACCTCGTTCAAAATAGTTTAGACAAGAAAAGAAGAACTCACGTGCTTTACACTG